TTCTTGATGATCTGTTCTTTTCTCTGGCTTACTGGATTGTAAGAGTACAGCAGAGGTTACATACAGTGTACAAAGTGTGTGTAAATCGTTCATGTAATTGGTAAGGCTTCCGGTCAAGCTATCAAGTTTTGAGGGAGTCAGAAGTTATACTGGGGGTCAGCGCCCTGATCCCTGCTTTAAGGGGCAGCTGTGCATCTTGAAGGGAAGGTAGAGTGGGGGGGATCTCAGGTGAGATTAGCCGTAGCGGTTCTTTGTTGCAGTTTTCAAACAGAAATCCGGTTCTTTGTCTTCCCTAGTTGGAGTAGTGGATGCCTTTCCATTTCAAGGCACTGTCAGAAGACACGACGGGTTTTGGTGTGTTTTTAGAGAAATGGACCAGGGCTGTTACACACTAAGTAGAGGTATTTCCAGCCAGTGCTTTTCCATTTGTTAAATCACAAGTACCAGTCACTGACCGCAACAGCGACAGAGACAACTCCCCTCCTCCTCCCCCTCCCATCCTCCTCGTCCCCCCTCTTCCTCCTCTCCCTTCCTCCTCCTGGAGTCCCTGGCGTGGGCTCAGGTACTTTTCATGGCACCGCTGTCAAGTAGGAACCCTGGGCCCTTTGATGCAAGAGGTTAACTGACCAGTTTGGGGTCATGCAGCTGAGAAGTGACTGAGCCAGGGCTCCCAGAGGGGACAGCAGGATTCTAGAGCACACAACCACCACACCGTGCTTCCTCGTGGAGTGGTTGCTTGTCTCACATTGGAAAAGCGGGTTACACAGACAAGGTAACAGTGAAGCAGGCATCTACATGAAGTGTGGTGCTGTCTTAAATTGGACAAAAAGAATAATAATTTTGAATCGACTTTTAAGTGCTTTTTACACCAAGGAAATGAATAGTGTATTGGAAGGCCTTGGCATTGGGAGGTTGCCGCAGACAGCTCTGGCATTCTCTGGGACAGAGTAATGAAAGAACCCATAGTGTGTGGATGGAACCCCGACTCCCCATCTTGTTTTTATATCGTCATTTTGAGCCGGCAATGGCAGCATCAGCTGTACAACTTTTATTAAGCAACAGGAACCAGAAAAACTTTCTCCTTACTGGTGTGCGTCTTGTAAAAAGACAATTATGTTGATACAATCAGTAGTTTCTTCTGAAATGTGCTGCAACACGAGTAAGGGAACTGCTCTTAGAAGACAGTACTAAATAGAATAAGGAAAGTGTCAGTAATTAATTTGTGCAACATAGTACACGGTGCGTGAGTGGCATTTCCTGGTTCACGGCAGAATGGTGCTGGTTGAAGCTGAAGAAGTGTGGTCCCTTTAAATACTGACCACCAAAATAAGATCTTCCAGTCCCGGGGAGGAGGATGTGCTTTGAACACAGAATCTCTTTTCTGGGTGACAGAACAATTAGCGGGGTGTGTTCCAGACTTCCTTAAAGTGTCCGGCAAGGCACAGAAAATGCCCCTGCAATCCAGCTTACCTTTTGGGGAACATGGGTACGTGGAAACTAGTGTTGGTTTTGACTGGTGCTCTCTAAGGTATGGTGCCTGGGGCAGCGGCGGCCCGGAGCGTGTGCTGGAAGGTCTGGGATCGAGGAATCTGGGGCCAGGTGTGGGCCTTGCCCACACGCTCCGGGTGGTCGCTCGCCTGCCAGAGTCTCCTCCGAGGCCCATCTGAGAGGTACGCAGGCTCGTGGGGAAATCCGCTCCTTCCGTACAGGGAGAGTGGCTTTCTGCCGAGGGGTTGGCCGGCCCCGTCTGCTCCCCGGGGGCATCCCCATGGGCATACGAGAAGAGCCGGTCCCAGTCGTGAGGACCAACAGCAGCGCATCCCTCCAGAGCCCGGGGGCCTGTCCGTTGTTCCCAGAGGCAGCTGTGGAGAGAACCAGCAACGCGCTCACAGGTGCGTACCTCTGGCGTTCTGTGCTGTCCTCCTCGAATCGTTGGGATCGTGACTCAGTGCAGCCCTTTATTTGCGCGTGGCGGCAGGTTCAGCCGTCCTCCCGGAGCGAGGTGCCTGCCGTCCGCCTGCGGCAGCGCTGTGTGTGTGTCGGCCTCTGGAGGCTGGGCCTGGAGAGCCCCCTAGACTCTTCGCAGGGACGCACACGAGCTCGAGGGCTGTTACGAACACGTGTATCCAGGGAGAATGTAGGTCTGCGGTGCCATATTCAGGCAGCCCTTAATTTCTTTTAAGTTTGTTTATTTCGTGAGAGAGACAGAGCGAGCAGGGGAGGGGCAGAGAGAGAGGGAGGGAGACCGAGAATCCCAAGCAGGCTCTTCTGAGAGCCCGGAGCCTGCTTTGGATTCTGCGTCTCCCTCTCTCTCTTTGCACACCCCCACCCCCGCTTGCGCTCTGTGTGTGTGTCTCTCTCTGTCTCTCAAAAAAAAAACAAAAAAACAAAAAAAATTAAGCTGAGCTGAGGAGCTCTCTGCCACTTTGAGTTGAAAAGGAAGCCCTCCGAAAAGTGCGGATCCAGAGTGGACCCTGGAGTCTGTACGGGTTGGAGACTGCAAAGGCTGGCTGCAGCCGAGGTGGCCGGAGGAGAAACCAGCCGTGGAGGATGTTTGCCTGCCCCTCGTCTCCGTCCCAAGGCCTCTGCTCGCTCCGCTCCCGGCCACTCTGCAGCCCCCTGGGTCACTGCTGCTTCTCCGATCCCACACCTCCTCAGACGTCGGGGCCCGGCTGGGCCTGAAGAAGTACACCCGCGCTCCAGACGCCGTGGTCTCGGCTGGCACGGAGCACAGGAATGCCGGCGACTGTCGGGCACCTGAGGAGCACTGACCGCATGAGAGAGGGTCACACATGGCGGGAGAGCTAACCAGCAGTCTGCGGGCGGCACCACCGCACCCAGACGAGGCCGACCCGCAGAGCTCACAGAGGAATCGGGAGAGGAAGCGAACGTTTACGGCCGATATAGGAAGGCTTGTTAATTAAAGAGACACGGTTCAAGAAAAGGTGAAGAAACATTTGTTTCTTATCTATCGGTTCGATAGAGAGGCTGAAATTCAAGCCTGTCTGTTTTACCTAATTCAGGAGAGCTTGGTCTGAGGCTTTCTGGAAGGTGAGCAGTGTCAGGGGAGTGGGATCATGGAGGAGAGGCCGGGAAGTGCTGTGTTCCTCTGCTAAGGAAGGGACGGTGGGTGAAGGATCCAGAGTAAATGTAAGAGAGGGGCACCTGGCTGGCTCAGTCGGTTAAGCTGAGTCAGTCTGACTATCTCGGCTCAGCTCACGATCTCACAGTTGTGAGTTCAAGTCCCACATTGGGCTCTGTGCTGGGTGTGACGTCTACTTCTTGAAAAATGAAATGGGGTGGGTAATTTTGCACAGCTGTCTTTAGATTGGTCAACTGCTAGTTGAGGGGTTGAATCCAGGATAGAAGCTCTTCTGGTTGTGATCTGTATTCTCCAAAAAGCCAGGACCGTGGTGATTGTGTGCCTGTGCACGTACGGAGAGAGATCAGAGGCTGGTGTGGCAGCTCCGGTCCCAGGGCAAAATTGCTTCCTGTGAGAACACTTTTTCTTAAGACCTTCAACTGATTGGATAAGGCTCAGCTACATTATGGTGGGCCATCTGCTGATTTACAGGTTGCCTTTCTAGAAAAATGCGTTCACAGAAAACATCTAGGGTAATGATTGACCACATAGCTGAGTACTGTGACCCAGCCAGGGTGACAAATTTAGATAAACCGTCACATTGGCAGAAATGCTGTATTTGCTTATAATTTTGGTAGTAATGGTGGAATGTTTGTGTGAATTAGGAAACGGTGCATGTGACTGCATTCCTTAGTCAGCGAGGTTGGGAATCAGCCTGTTCCTTTGCTGTGAAGAAAGCCTGATGCTGTACACAGCATGCATCGCTGGGACTTCTGCTGAAATCTCACAGATGGTAATTGGTTGTCTGAGGAGAAACATGATGCTGAAGATCCCTGTGCTCTGCCGGCGATACGTAAGGGCTGAGGTTCGCGGTGGCTGCTGCCGAGTTCCTGGGCGGGCAGCGCTGACGTGAGCTCTTGGCCCTGCCTCTTCGTGCATCCAAGGGAGGGCGATTGTCCCAGCTGCTCTTCTGTCCGGCGGGTGGCCCTGCCTTGCGCACCCCTCTCTTTCCCTTTCCTCGTGCAGCCGTGGGGACGCACCCAGGGCCGGCAGGGGGCCGCCGTGGGGCCGCCGTGGAAGCTCCCGGGCGCTCCTTGGTTCTCCGCAACCGTCCTGTAACCTCCCGGGCCTCTGCGGTCAGCGTGGAGGCCTTGGCTCACATTCCCCTTGCCGAGAACCGTAAACTCTGCTGTCTGGTGGCCCCAGTGTCACTGTCTTGTTCTCCCGTGATGTGGTCCTCGTGCCTGGATGCCCACGAGATGTTCTTTTCCTTAAAGAATTTGTCTTAACTGGAGGATGTTCGCGTCAGAGGTGGGGTCTGTTTTCCCAGGGCTGCCTGTGCACATGGGTGTTGTTTCTCTCGGGGTTTTCCGTGAGTTGCGTCAGTGTCCTAATGTCCTACAACAGCTAGGAGCCCATGTCCATTAGTCACAGCTGTGTCGTGTCCTCCCAGGTGGGCCCGCCGCATCTGTTGGCCGTGCTCCTCTGGGTTAGTCCTCGTTTCTGAAACGGCTTCCTTTCTGGTTCTCACTCCCTGCTCTGGCCTCTGGTGTGTGCCTGGCCGTGGGGAACGGTTTCCATCTCCCTCCCTTGTGGGCAGATGGCCTGTGGGTGTGCCTCCCGACTGTTCCGTGTCATCCATGTGCAGCTGTGCCACTGTCCTCTCGGGTCCCATGTGTGAGGAGGGCTGTGGCTCCCTGGATGGCCATCCCCTGCAGAGCTCCGAGCCCCTCTGTCTCCGCAGGGCTCTGTGGGGTCTTCCCTTCTCAGCCACCACCCCCCCACCCCCGCCTTGTCAGCCTGTGAACCCCATCCTCCTGGAAGGCAGGTCTGCTGGGCGCCTGCAGAAAACCCGCTCAGAACCTTGGGAGCCCTTTTCCACCCGACGTGAGCAGTTTTCCATCTGGGGTGATCTCTCTCTTGCTGAGGAAAGGCCTGCGCCAACAGATGCGGACCTCGTTGGGCAGCGCTCGAGGTTCCTATGTGTCACACTCCCTCTAGATTTACCAGCTCGCCTCCTTGAAAGTCCGTACATCGTAGCTTTAAATATCACAGCCTACAATAAATTGTTTTTTTCAAAGTTTGTGTGTATGCCAGTCGCTTACGACTTGCGCTCGTGGTGTAGACGAGAGATCTCTGACCACCGGACGTTCTCGGCTGAGCATGTGCAGTGCCCCGGGGCCTGGCTGTCCTCTCTGTCCACGCCCAGCTTGGTGCCTTGTCCGAGACTCCTAGGTGGAGCCCAGATGCCTTCCCCGATACCAGGACCCACGTGTGCTGCTTGTAAACGTTGCATGTAGATTTTCCAATTGTTAATAATCTGGAAAGAATGTGGTTTGGTGTTGCTCCAATAATTTTTGATAATACATTAAGTGTTTGTCAAAATTCAAGTCTTGTTTCAAGTTACAATTTCAAAATTCAAGTCAGAGTCTGTTTCCTAGAGAAGTACTAACGGTGTAATGCCCGGATGCCAGCCGGCCTGGACTGCTGGTTAAAGAGAAGTTAAAGGTCTAGTTTTTTCTCCTTGATTAAGGTGGTGGGGGCTCATTATGTGGGCGCCACAGTGGGTGAGATTGAACAGTTGCACGTTTCTGCTTGACGAGAAGCGGGTTCATGTTCTGTAAAGCCGTGTGCATGTATGCGTATTTTATGCGGTCAGCCCTTCTCTATCTATGATTAACCGAGGTCACTGTGAGTTGACTGCAATAATAGAAACTCACAGTTGAGAAAGCGATGCTCGTGTTCCATATCAGGGTGAAGTTGCTGTGGCAAAGTGCTGTTCCTGCGCCTGCCCACAGGGCGCACAGGGAGCAGGACGTGTGCACACGGTGACCCGGAGGGCCCCTGGGGGCGCCTGGACCCGGAGAGCATCTCGCTAGCAGTAGGGTTGGGGGTCGGGGTGTGTACTTCTGACATGATACCTTACGTGTGTTATGTGTGAATGCAGAAAACATCGGAGCAGTGTGGGGCCGAGCAAACCAGTTTCCCAGCCCCGGAGGAACATCGTAGGCTGCAGGATTCAGCATGGGTGGAAGGAGGGGAATGGCCCTGTCACCCAGTGGAAAGGAACCGTTCTGGACCAGGTGCCTGTAAATCCTTCTTTGTATCTTATAAAATACGATGGATTTGACTGTGTTTATGGACTAGAACTTAATAAAGATGAAAGAGTATCTGCGCTCGAAGTCCTCCCCGATAGAGTTGGTAAGTTCTCTTTACTATTTGTGTGTTGTATTCTTTACAAATGATTGTCGAAGTGATTGCTTTGTGATTATTCTTTTGTATTACTGGTATTTTTATTTTTCCTGGAGTGCAGGCACTCCCGATATACTCTTAAGTCAGTCACCTGAAACCACAGTTCAAGTCAGGGGTGTAAAGATGTGTGAAATGATGGCTGAACAAATTGACAAACTGATAATTTCTAACATTATTTCCCACGTTTTGCTCACTGTTCATGTGGACTCTGATGGGTAAGAATGTTTTCTTGTTAGCTCAAATATCTTGTGTACCTCTTTCATCGGATTATAGTAGCTTATGCACTTACTTTAGAATCCTTATGTGAAGTATATCTTTCATTGTGTGTTATTACATAAGTGATAACTGTATTTTCAGCCCAAATTCAAGCAGCCCAAACCCGTGGGCTTTATTCTGCATTCGTTAGATGGATGTTTGCACAATGTGGAAATGAACGGCCCTTTCTTTTCTTAAATATTGTACAAATAGGTCCCCTTATATAGCTTAGTTCCTTAAGGCTTAAGGTGTCAGTTAAATAATGACTGATTTTATTTTTAAGGATAAGGTAAAATATCATTTCTAGGATGAGTAGGACGCACCCACGTTAACGTTACTTTCTTAAAGAGTGTTCACTTTGAAGTGCTTTCTTCTTACCACGGCCATGCTGCTCGTGCCTGAGCGCTGGTTGATCCTTTTGGAATTGTCTTGAAAAGCCTCTATGTTAACAAACCCAGTCTCAGCAGATGTGGACTTGTGGGTAGAAGTGTGGGGCCAGATTGTCAAGAGGGGAAACTACTCTGTTCCCTTGTCCCTTTGTTTTTGCCATTGTGTTCTTGGGACACACGTGCTTCCCTAGCAAGTTAACTCTTTGCCAGAGCAGCAAGTTTTCTGTTTGCCTTCCCTTTAGATGACGATGCTAAGTCTATATTTATCCCATGTAAATACAGTTCTGTTTTCGCAGAAATCTTCATGTCTTTATTATTATCAAAGGTAACTGTGTAATGTTACATCTCTGGCATTTGTCACGTCTTTACCTGTTCTTGGTGCCACTGGACCTTCCTCCTTCCTCACGAGGCACATCCTCTGTTTCCTCTTGATCTTGACGTTAGCCTGTTTCCAGTGTGAGAAACTAACATTGAAGAGTCTTACCTTCAGGTTTTAAAAAAATACCTAGACTTTCAAATCCATTGTTTGTACTAAGTAATTGTCGTGTATCCTTTTTCTGATCTAGATGTTTAGTCTGTCCCTTTTGGGGTGAGACTGCCCTGCCGGCCTGTGTGAGCTCTTCTGTCATCATAGGACAGAGGAGGTCATTCCTCTTGGTAAAAACGTGATTTGATCAAACCAAGATACCCCCAAATCTATAAGTATCTCTGGTGATGGACTTGAGTTGCTTAATGGTTTTCTTACTGTTTCCAATGGGAGATCAGGCTTGTTTTTGTAAAAAGCAAAGCATTTTAAAAAGGAAATCCAAAGGCGTCTATGCAACCCAGCAGTATTTCACGTGCTGAATTTAATGAGTAGTTAATTCTGGTACTTCTCGCATGCTTCAGTCTGGAAGATTATTTGCCCTTCGCTTACGTTCCATGTAGGAAGGAAACCGTCTTTCACGATCAGCCTCAGGTTGTACATCAGACTGTACTTGCAGTTTTGTTTGCGATAAGCTAAGGAGGGGACCCGGCCTGAAGGCCTGTGGTGGCACAGTGTTTGGGTGCCCCATGTGTGGTCAGGGACCCTCGAGGTCAGGAGGCTTGTGACATCGGTAAAAACACAGAAAGTGAAATTCACTACCTTGACCATTTTTAAGTGTTGAATTCAGTTAGTGTTACGTGCATTCAGGTTGTTGTGGAGCAAATCTCCAGAACGTTTTCATCTTGTAAATCTGTTGCTCCATTCCCCACCTCCCCCCCAGCTCTTCTACTTTCTGTTTCTATGAATTGGGTCACATTAGATACCATTAGATAGAATATTTGTCTTGGTGACCACTTCCTTTCCCAGCGTAGTGTACTCAGGGTTCGCCCACGTAACATGTGACAGCATCTCCTTCCCTTTCGAGGCTGAGCGGTACTCATCGTGTCGACCCCGCATTCGGCTCGCCCGTTGCTCTGCTTGGGTTGCCTCCACCTTTTGGCTGTTGTGGAGAGTGCTGCCATGAACATGGCGGTCAGGCACTTCGGGCCCCTGCTTTCCTCTCTTTTGAGGATAGTCCTGGAAGCAGAATCGCTGGATCATGCAGTAATTCTGTGTTTCATTTTCTAAGGAGCCCATGTCCTGTTTTCCACAGTGTTTGTAACATTTCACATTCCCACCCACAGTGCACAGGGCTTCAGTTTCTCCACATCCTCGGCAACACCAGTTGTTCTTGTCGGTTTTGGTTTGCATTTCTCTGGTGATTAGTGATGTCGAGCACCTTCTCATATGCTTTTTGGCCACTTGTCTGTCATCTTTGTAGAAATGTCTGTTCAGGTCCTTTGCCTGTTTCCCAATCAGGTTATTTGATTTTGTTGAGTTGTAGGAATTCTTTACATATTTTGGAGATAAGTGAGTTTTAACAGAACAGTGTGACAGGTTTACTGATAATGATTTCAGATTCTGCGTGCGGTTAACCTTTAACAGGCTTGTTGAGCTGTGATGTAGTGTCACAAGAGTATCTGGAATTATCTGACAAGACTAATAGAATACTCCCCCTTTTCAACAACACATCTTTGTGAGGCTGGGTTTCATATGTCAACCAGAAGAGCGTGTAACAGATGCTTCAGAATGCTGAAGCCGATAGGAGAATCTAGCTTTCCTTTTGTGAAGTTAGACATTGAGAGATTTAAACATGTAAAATCATCCCGCTCTTCTTACTAAATCTTTCTTAGAAAATATGGTTATTTTTCATTAAAAATGCTTTATGTAAGTATTTAAAAAATATTTTTAGACTTACTTGTAATTTCTAGTAGCAGATTTTGGTAGCTATCCATGTAAAGAATTGCTCTTTTAGAGCCTCAAAAATTATACAGGAGTCCTGAGGTCAAAAAGTTTGAGAACTTCTGAAGAAACGCGAGTGGGCTTTTAGTGCACATTGGGGAATTTTGTGTAATTTTGGATAGTTATTGCATATGTAAGCAAAGAGAAGCACCATATGTATTTAGAGTGTCCTTCTGATAAAATTGGCTAGCAGTATCTTCAGAAATTCTGTGTTCCTTTGAATTTTAACAGAAGTAAAAGCACTTATGAATGAGTAAAATAGAAGTGCTTTTTTTTAAAAGACAGTTGTCTAAAATGCGAGGACCAGAGAAACCTTAAAATCATTAGGACCTTCTGTAATTTTCCCAGTATTAAAAACAAGTTAGGTTGTGATTTTTCCACCTGCCCCTTAACGAACACGGCAGGGCCGTCGATTAATTTGTACGGCGGGTGTCGGAGTGCGGTGCTCTTGGTATCGGAAAGCAGACGGAAGGGGTCTGTGCTTGCCTTCCGGGTGCCCGGGCCAAGCAGGACGACTGCCGATGGTGGGGAATGCCATTAACGAATAAAGCCGGAGGAGGCAATGGTCTCGGCCGGGCTTTCACTCCTGGTCCCGGAGAGCCCCTGGGAGAAGACCTGGAGGAGGAGGAGACCGTGCAGGCAGGGCCCTGGCAGGAGGCAGGAGGGAGAGGGCGGCTGGGCCGGCGCTGAGAAGCAGTTACTCAGATGCTGAAGTGAAAGCCCTGGGGCGTTCCAAGCGAAAGCACAGCCCAGAAAGCACAGCCCAGTGTGGTGTAACGCCCAGGAGCAGTTGGCTTGCTGTGGAAACAGATTATAGACCCAGAGGAAGACCTCAGGCCTGGGGTAGGGTGACCTCTTAGTTTGAATAACTGCCCCGTGGTCACGGAAGGTGTTACCAGAGGGAAGGTGGGTGAGGAGTGCGTGGGAATGCTCCTGTTCTACAGCTCCAGGCAAGCCTAGAATTATCTTGAAGTTTTTTTTTGTTGTTGTTTTGTTTTTTAATGTTTTTATTTATTTTTGAGACAGAGAGAGACAGAACATGAATGGGGGAGGGTCAGAGAGAGAGGGAGACACAGAATCCAAAGCAGGCTCCAGGCTCCGAGCTGTCAGCACAGAGCCCGATGCGGGGCTTGAACTCACGGACCGTGAGATCATGACCTGAGCCGAAGTTGGATGCTCAACCGACTGAGCCACCCAGGCCCCCCTTGAAGTTTAAAATAGCTATTAAACCTACCAAAACCCACTGTATACCTCGAACGAACCATTGAAAGTTCTAATTTCAATGTACCGCACCAAGAGCAATTGAGTTCGGAAAACAAAAAAGAAGGGAAGCAGGTTCTCGCAGTGACTGACCTGGGACCCCCAGAGCCTGTGGACTCCAGTGGGGCCTGGGCGCCAGCCCGCTGATTCTTGTGCCGCTCACACGTCAGGCCATCGCCTTGTGTGAATTCAGTCTTCACACACAGTACATGTCGGTAAGATCCTGTGTGAACCGCTGTCTGCTTCTTGTCCCCAGCGAGCTCTCGAATCAGCGACGCGCACCTGGCCGACACGATGATCGGAAAGGCGGTGGAGCACATGTTTGAGACAGAGGATGGCTCCAAGGACGAGTGGAGGGGGATGGTCTTGGCTCGCGCCCCTATCATGAACACGTGGTTCTACATCACCTACGAGAAGGACCCCGTCTTGTACATGTACCAGCTCTTAGATGATTATAAAGAAGGCGACCTTCGCATCATGCCCGATTCAAGTAAGTGTGGATTGTCAGCTTTTATTTTTGATAATTCCAAAGGAACTTGAATTTTAGAACAAGATATTTGATTAACTATTTTTTGTAGATTCATCTTTCTTACTTTGATTACTAGGGTTAAGGGATGATTCTTTTAGTCCTGCACCGAGTGTAGATTGTGAAATTTTGCACCTTTTGCCAAGACGAACGTGCTTTCTGTGTAGATCTGTCCTGGATTGTGGATGTGGGGGTGAATGGAGCATGTAACACGGGCTCCTTCGTGAGTGGCTTCCTTCACTCAGCGCAGTGTTTTCAGGCTCCTCCAAGTTGTAATGTGTCGGTGCTTCATTCCTTTACTGGCCAAGTGCAAGTGTAATCTATGCGTGTGTATCCACCCGTCTGTTGATGGACGTATGGGCTGTCGCCCGCCTCTTGCTCGTTATGAAGGATGCTGCTATAAACCTTTGTGCGCAGGTTTCTGAGTGGATGTTTGCCTTCCCTTCTCCTGGGTGGACACAGGTGTAGGACTGATGGGTCTGTGGTTACTGCTGTGTTGTGTGGGGGACCGCCGGACGGATTCACAAGGGCACTGCACCATTCTGCACATGCTCCGACCATGTGTGATGGTTCTGATTGCTTCACACCCTCACCCCTTCGTGTTACCTGATGTTTGGCTCTGGCTGTCCTCATGGTTGCAAAATGCTAGCTCGTCATGGGTTTGGTTTGCATCTCCTTGATCGCTAGAGACATCGGGCACCTTTTCCCGTGTTGTTGGCTATTTCTGTGTCTTCTCTGGAGAAGTGTCTGTTTGCATTGTCTGCCTGTTCAGTCAGGCCACCTGTCTGTCACTGACTTGTCTGGGTCTGTGTTCTCCGTGCGGGTCTCCTGACACGTCGGACTTGCAGACACTTTCTCCTGTTCTGTCGGTTTCTTTTTGCTTCCTTGATGGTGTTCTTTGAAGCCCAGAAGTTTTAAATTTTGATGAGGTCCAATTTATTCTTTCTCCTGTAGCTCGTGCTTTTGGTGTTTTCTCTGATAGTCTTTACCAAGTTCAAGGTTCTGAAGATTTACTTCTTTGTTTTCTTCTAAAAGTCTTGTAGGTGTCGCTCTTACCTGTGGGTCTTTAGTTCTTCTATTTAGGTCTTTGATACATTGTGAGCTAACTTTTACGATGTGGTGAGAGGGTCCATCTTCATTCTCCTGCACGTTGTCTGAGCGCCATTATTTGGAAAGACTGCTCCCTCCCCTGTTGGGTGGTTTTGCCGCCTTGTTGAGAGGGAGTTGGCTGCAGACGTGTGGGGGGTGCCGCTGGGCTTCAGCCCTGCTTCGTCGCCCCAGGCTGTGCTTGCGTACGTCCGGCGCTTGGTCACACTGCTCCGGAGTCAGTGTGGACACTGGGAAGGGTTGAGCCCTACTTTGTTCTTTTTTCACCATTGTTTTGACTCTTTGGGATCCTTTGCGATTTCGTGAATTTTGGTATCAGTTTGTTAATTTCTGCAAAGCAGTCAGCTGGGATTCATCCGGGGATTGTGTCGAAGCTCTGATAACTTGGGGGGTAACTGCCGTCTTGACACCGTGACGCCTTCTGACCCACGAGCATGGGCTATACTGCCGTTGCTGAGATTTAAAGATTTCTATCAACAGTGTTTTGTGGTTTTCAGAGTAGAAGTTTTGTACTTACTTTGTGAAATTTATTCCTAAACATTTTGCTCATTTTGATGCTACTATGAATGGAACTATTTTCTTAATTTCACTTTTGGGTAAGCCTTTTCTTTTTGAAAGTACTCTTTAGCCTTTCTTCCAACACAGAGGTGCCCGGGCCTGAACAGATGGGGCTGGCGGACGCACGATACACGAGCGGTGTGACAACCATCTCTGTTGCTGAGTTCTGCCAACGAGCCAGTCAGGGAAACTGCTCTGACGTGTGCTCATCTGGCCCTGACTTTCTGCCTTGTGTACATTTGCCACGGGTGGTAACAGGAAGTATTTAAATAGCAGGAACTTAATTCTCATGAGAGCATTCTTTAAAAGCATTTCTCTGGCCTGGGGCGCCTGGGTGGCTCAGTGCATTAAGCGTCCGACTTCCACTCAGGTCATGATCTCGCGGTTCGTGAGTTCGAGCCCCACGTCGGGCTCTGTGCTGACAGCTCAGAGCCTGGAGCCTGCTTCAGATTCTGTCTCTCTCTCTCTCTCTCTCTCTCTCTCTCTCTCTCTCTCTGCCCCTCCTCCACTCATGTTGTCTCTCTCAAAAATAAATAAACATTAAAAAATTAAAAATAAAAGCATTTCTCTAGCCTATATGAAGTTGATTTTTAATTTTTTGGTAGAGCTGTTAGAGCTGCTGTCTTGCTGATGGAAACTATGAGGGCGTTTGCACCGTCCCCAGTGTCTCCCAGCCCCGCTTTCCCCCCCAGCGTCTCTCCCCTGTTCGCTACGTGCATTGCGAGAGCGGAAATTAAGTTACCATTGGAACCCGTGGTGATGCCCTGCTGGGGCGGCCTCTGTGCGAGCCCCTCACCTCTCGGCTCAGTTGCTGTGGCGTGCCTGGTAACCACACACTTGGAACTTTGTGGACGTGAAGTGCCCCGAAAGCGGGGAGGGCCCGTGCCGCTGCTGATGAAGAAAGGACTTCCGCCTCAGGTTCGGCATCACTTCCCTGTTCAGATCGGATAGCGTCATACTTTGGCGTTGTGTCGCGCGGTGGTCAGAGTAGCAGGGTTAGGATTGCGTCCTCGGGCAAGAGGACCTGCGGCGGCCAGTGAGGTGGACCGTCATTAGTGCAGTTGGGCACTCGGGCCGCCAGCGGGCTGCGCGGAGCTCCAGGGCCAGACCCGGGCTACGCAGAGAGGGGCTCGCCTTGCTTGGGCCCTGAAGAGTTTTCTGGAGGTGGAGTTGGAACCTCCCAGCCCCATCCCCTGTGTCTTCGCTGCTGGAGGGGACAGTTGGCTGTCCTTCCGAGTGCACTCGGGGACGCCTCGCAGCCCCTATGCGCTTGGGACGGTGTTCTCCAGCACTCAGGCTTTCGGTGGGGGGCTCGTCTGAGAGGTGCGCTGCCTCCACGGTCCTCAGAGATCCTGTCTTGGCCGGGCTGGGGAGGGGCTTCACTCGGCACCTGTTTCCAGAGCAGAAGTCTCTTATGTTGAACCTGGGCTGGGACGATGGTGTGCAGTGGAATGAGGTGGAGGAGAAAGACACTTTAAGGATTCGCAGGAAAAGACCAGGGAGAAGTTTGAGCAGCGTATTCTCGCCCCCCTGTAGGTGTTGTCTGCTCTGAAGGCCTGTTTTGAAGGAACTCCAACTTACTTTTAAGAAGTTTTGTGGATTTAGGTTTTTCCCTGGACTTTTCCTTGGTGTGGTCCTCATCTCCTCAGGCAGTCACAGCTGTAATTGAACACAAGCCTCAGGGATTTCTGGTCATGATTTTCAGAATCCTTCACATGTTATGGCCTGAGGGTGGGAGGGGGCGGCAGAGTGTTTTTGTAAATAAAGTTTTATTGGCACACAGCCACACTTTTCATCTGTATATTCTCTGAGGCTGTTCTCACTTGACAAGGCAGAGCCGAGTAGTTGGTACAGAGACCACATGGCTTCAGTCCTCACATATTTATTGTCTGGCCCTTGAATAAAAAGTTTGCTGACTCTTGGGTCTAGATAATCAGGATGAGTTGGGGAGTTAAGTTTTTAAAAAAAATTTTAAATTTACATTCAAGTTAGCATATATAGTGCAATAATGATTTCAGGAGTAGATTCTAGTCTTTTATCCTCTATGTATAACACCCAGTGCTCATCCCAACAAGTGTCTTCCTTAATGCCCCTTACCCATTTAGCCCATCTCCCCCATCCCCAACCCCTCCAGCAACCCTCAGTTTTCTGTATTTAAGAGTCTCTTATGTTTTGTCTCCCTCCCTCTTTCTATATTATTTCTGCTTCCCTTCCCTTATGTTCATCTGTTTTGTATCTTAAAAGTCCTCATATGAGTGAAGGTCTATGATATTTGTCTTTCTCTGGCTAATTTCACTTAGCATAATACCTTCTAGTTCCATCCACATAGTTGCAGATAGCAAGATTTCATTCTTTTTGATTGCTGAGTAATACTCCATTGTGTGTGTGTGTGTGTGTGTGTGTGTGTGTGTGTGTGTGTGTGTGTGTGTCTGTGTATACACACACACCACATCTTTTTTATCCATTCATCCACTGATGGACATTTGGGCTCTTTCCATACTTTGGCTATTGTTGATAGCACTGCTATAAACATTGGGGTGCATGTACCCCTTCAAAACAGCACACCTGTATCCCTTGGATAAATACCTAGTAGTGCAATTGCTGGATCATAGGGTAGTTCTATTTTTAATTTTTTGAGGAACCTCCATACTGTTCTCCAGAGTGGCTGCACCAGTTTGCATTCCCACCAGCAGTACAAAAGGGTTTCTCTTTCTCCACATCCTCGCCAACATGTTGTTTCCTGAGTTTATGTTAGCCATTCTGACAGGTGTGAGCAGTATCTCGTCATGGTTTTGATGAGATTTCCCTGATGATGAGCAATGAGTGATGGTGAGCATTTTTTCATGTGTCTGTTAGCCATCTGGATGTCTTCTTTGGAGAAGTGTCTATTCGTGTCTTTTGCCCATTTCTTCACTGGATTATTTGTTTTTTGGGTGTTGAGTTTGGTAAGTTCTTTATAGATTTTGGTCTTTACAGACCAAGTCTTTATCTGATATGTCATTTGCAAATATCTTCTTGCATTTCATTGGTTGCCTTTTAGTTTTGCTGATTGTTTCCTTTGCCGTGGAAAAGATTTTTATCTTGATGAGGTCCACATAGTTCATTTTTGCTTTTGTTTCCCTTACCTCCAGAGACTTGTTGAGTAAGAAGTTGCTGCAGCCAAGGTCACAGAGGTTTTTGCCTGCTTTCTCCTCTAGGATTTTGATGGCTTCCTGTCTTGCATTTAAGTGTTTCATCCATTTCGAGTTTATTTTTGTGTGTGGTGTAAGAAACTGGGGGGAATGTTAAATTAAAAAAAAAATTATTATTAAAATAGACCTGTGAGTTGGTACATACTGAAAAATTGACTTCAAATTCTTTTTCCTCCCCTGTTTAATGCAGATGATTCTCCTCCAGCAGAAAGGGAACCAGGAGAAGTTGTGGACAGCCTGGTAGGCAAACAAGTGGAATATGCCAAAGAGGACGGCTCTAAAAGGACTGGCATGGTCATCCACCAAGTGGAGGCCAAACCGTCCGTCTACTTCATCAAGTTTGATGACGACTTCCATATCTACGTGTACGATTTGGTGAAAACGTCCTAGATGGCATCATGGACTTCGCCAAATTTGTGGAACTATTAAATGTATAATTTGTAGACATAAAGACTTGATTGCTTTCCAGTTTAATGAAAGCTTAAATGTCCCTGCGAACCCACAATCTCTGCCAGCAGAACTGGTTTTGTTCCGAATAGTACAAATTCATGTGAACACAAAGCATTTTGTGTAAGGAACTCCTTCCTCTTAAAAGAAGTCTGTCTGTCTGGAGGGGAGTTAACAGGCAAGTTTGGTACAAGTTAGGCTAGCCCCATAGTCATTTCAAACTGTAGTAGATCTTCCCCACTTCCCCGCCACTGTTGCGCTCTCCGACTCTGCCGCCACAATGCAAGCATAGTTTGGTATTTTTGTTATTGCCTTTTTTGAGATATGTATGTATCTATATCTACCTATCTATATCTGTGTGTGTACATATGTAATATATACACACACATAGATCTGTGCGTGCGCGCGCACACATACACTTAATTGGCAGTCATTTCTTTGTGGATTGGGGCGGGGGGTAAATAATATTCTCCAGTTTAACAGGAGTACTTGTCCGAAGTCAGTCATACTTAGCATATTACTGCTGCTTATTTAAAATTAAATGTGGGCACAGGAGACACAGGGATGTTCAGCTTGTTTTCAAAGTCAGAAGTTCAGACACCTTTTCAGTCTGGAGGCTTTAAACTGTGAGTCCAAACATGAATCATTGGTGAGCAGTTGCTGGACCCACATTAGGATTTAACAAAACAGGAATCTGGGTAAAAAGCTGCCTTTAATTCTAAGCTTTGTAAATTTTTGTTTACATTTTTTACTGTACTTTTTTTTTTTTTTTTTTAAAGCGAAGCCCAGGTACTTGGTCCACACAGTGTGATGCGGGCGTATTTTGGACGGCACAACTGGTCTGTTATTTGTACGAGTCCGCAGTCTGCATTCTAGTACATGGATTTGAGAGGCAGCAGTGCGTCAGTGGTTTGTGTGTATGTGGTAAGTTCCTGGAAGAACCTAGTGGTTTCGTATTAGAAGTTCAAGTTGAAGAATGGCATTGCTGCCTTCCAACAAGTTCTCTGGGACACTTTTTTTTATTACCGTTCTTACTGATACGTGATTGTGGTCAGAAGGCTTTCCCCCCCCGGCTTTTCCCCACAAAGAACATCTAGACAGATGACAGCTTCGGTCCCCTGACACCTTCTGTGGTGCTGTTACGGTCTTGCCCCCGGTGTGCTGTGGATGTGGACGCTTCCCGTCCTGTGGGCCCTACCACGTCGGGGTCCGTCACCGCACCAGCTTCCGTGGCTTATTCCCGCAAGGTTGTTTTAACCGAAGTAGAACTGCAGAAGTGGGGGTAGTGGCGGCATGGCCATCTGTCGCCTTGCGTCGGATGAGCCCTGATGGTTTGGCAGCTAGGAGAGAGGCAGTACGTGACACCAGTCTCCTGCGGAGGTTGGAAACCTTCCCTGCATTTTGGGCAGAAGGTTGAGTGCATGTGTTGTCAGTCCAGTACGAGAAGGCCACGTGGCCTCAGCGTTGGAGATCCTGTACCTCAAGGCCTCCCCACGTGTGGTTCGCGTGGCCCCCCGCTTTTGCCTTCGGGAAGTCCGCGTGCTGTCGCGCTGTTGGATGGTAGCCCTGCGCCCCATTCTGGTGCAGCGCCCGGTGTCCGAGGTGTGTGGCGTGCCACGCCTCACCTCACCTCGGGCGGCGGCCGAGTGCCTGGTCTCAGACGCTCCTCCTGCTCGGACAGGTGTCCTGCTGCACGTCTGTCACCTCTTTTCCTGGTGGCTCTTCTAAGAGTCCCTGCATGGGAATCTCAAGGCTGAGCCCGGCTCCCCGAGCGCCAGTGGACAAGCGTGCCCGGAGGGTGGGTGCGGCCGGCGTGTGCGCGGCGTGAGCGCGGCACAGAGGCGTTGGGCTGCAGAACCGGTGTCCCCTGGCAGCATCCGGCAGCGCGGGTCCGTGGAGGCGTCTCCGGCATCACTTACTGACTTGCTTTGTGGTTTTTCTGCAAGTACCCTTAGCACCTTCAGTACCACACGGTCTGCCGCTCTCCAGACGAATGTGACACGTGATTGGCGTCCTCATTTTAGTCAGCGTTCCATGTATTGCCGTTAGGGCGGAAGGAAGGGGAAGGGGTTTTTTGTTGTTTTCTTTTATTTGCCCCATTCTCTTTTCTTTCGGCGGCTTAACTCCCACTTCTGTGGTGACTGATCCCACTCCTTTGCCCGGGATTTCAGGCTTCGTTTTAGGCTCACGTTTCCGATCTGCATGCATTGCTTGCCTTTTCCTGGTATTGGGATGTTGGTTCCTTGTTCTGGGAGCCCAACATTAGTTTCCAAAATTATCACGGGACTTGTGACCGCACAAGACCTGAACCTGTATAAAATGTCCTGGCCTTCCTCACTGACCTGCTGTAGTGTTCTTGTGTCGTGTGCGTGTGACGTCCGGCTGCCACGTGAAGCTTCAGAGGAGAACCTTAAGCGCAGACCATCCTTTTTTGCATGCTCTATTCTAAGTAGGATGTTCAATGTAACTAACTGAACTTGCATGTGAGAGATATTTAGGTTTTTTGTTTTCTATCTTTGTTTTTATTTGTTTTCAGCTGTCTGTATATTTGCTTCCTGTGCTGTTGTAGTGGTTGTAGGATACAGATGCACTGGTGAAGCAGTGTAGTGCCAGCAGAAGGTGATTTTCCAGCCCTGTCTGTCGTGCAGCATTTGAAGGGACTGTGCATTCTTGAAACTCTCACAGTTACTTCTAAGCCAGAGTTCATTCCTATTATTGTTTTACGTGCCAAACCCTGAAGTGCATTGGGCTTGAATCTCTGAACGCTGTGGACCCATTAGAAGACTGTTCTGATTGTCACAAATTGTAGTGCCTGAAAACATTCTTAAGCTGATTGTCTTAAAAAAAAAAAAAAAAAAAAAAAAAAAAAAAAAAAAAAAAAAAAAAAAGAAAAAAAAAAAGAAAGTTCTCCAAAGACAAAACAGGAACAATTATTATAACAGAAAATAATTATGGTTGAAATGTCTGTGGTTCCTTGGAAATGCTGCGCTTTTTGTATTTTCCACCGTTAGTGCAGTTTGAACGAATGTGTATAGTTCAGAGGTCTTCGTGTTCGCATTTTAAAATTAGGTAAATGACCTCATCTTTCAAGCTTGAATTCATTTTTAATTTTAATTTTATTTTATACAATGTGTAGACAGTTCCCTGTTCTCTGCATTTAGAAGTATAAACAATATAAATCTGTTAATTCTGTAAGTAATTTTTATAATTATGATGTAACTCTATCCTATCCTTAAAACATTTAAAATAAACCCTTTATGTGCAACTTCTGACTGTAAATTTTGTGCTCATAAGCAAAATGTGATGTGTTAAACCTGCTTCTGAAAAAGTTTTTAAAGTTTTACTTTAAGATCCTTTCACCACGTGTAAATGTCAGATATATGCAGAGACAGAAAGAAGTCCGACTTTTACTTGAATGGTAACACTCAGTACTTCCCGAGGGGAGAGGGGCAGTGATCAATATCCCAAATACATTCACTAGTCCAAAATATTCAGTTTGTGCTTCGCCGCTAATGAGAAAATTTATCATAAAATTTTAAACTGAATTGTTTTAAATAGAATTAAATAATATGTATTTTATACTTTCACATCTAGTTCTGCTTTGTATATTGCCTGTAATGCTGTTAATACTTCAGTACCAACTGGTGCGAGTCTGTAGGGGGAAAGCCCCATGTCTTGACGGCAGGGACGAGGAAGCGCATAGGTAATGGCCGGGACGGGTGTCTTCTGGGCGATTATAATCAGGAAGAAAGTAGATTCACAATGTGTCTGTAATCACATTTGTTTTTTGCTGTTTCCCTATTGAGTTGGGCCAAAGGATCTTGTGGTTAAGGCTGGGGTGGGACAGGCCACCTTCTCGCTGCCAGAGTTGGCTGCAGGAACGGCCCCGCCCGGGCTGGGTGGAGGCCTCCGCCCGCTGGAGGCCGGATCTTGCGTCCTCCTCCTGCCACACCTCAGCCTTTTTGTGCTACTGCACATGTAGCTCGGGAAGTGTTTTCCCTACAAATGACAGCAAGTCTCGTCAGAAGTTGATGGTCGCTGGCTGCCGTCTATAGGCCAGCGAGCGGGTCTGCACGGCTTGGAGAATCATGGGTGGGCCTGCCAGTTTGACCGCTCTCGGCACGGCCACGGCGCTGGTGGTGAGTAAAGCGTGACAGATGCTCTGAAGTCCTTGGCCATCGCCGTGTGAAACTTCTGATGGGGGGAGGGGAGGCGCACCTTTTCTCCGTGGTGCCGATGAGGAGGGCGTGGAGGCCACGTGTCTGGTCCAGGAGGATCACCAGCCTCAGTGCAGGGATCTGAAGGACCCAAAGTCCAGCCATCTCTGTGGCTAGTTTTGTACCCTTGCTTCCTAAGTGAGGGCAGGAAGTGTTTTCTTATTTCCCAATTATGCTGAAGAAATATAAATTTCCCTTTCGAGATTGTAGAAACTATTTTATAGTTAAAGATATTTTAAATATGTCATTACATTCATATTCTTACAAAAGCTGCATTTCTTATGCCCACAGAACACCACAACCTCACACCTAATTTTTACAGTAATTGGTTTGTTCTGTGTCATATGTTTGTACGGTCTTAGGCTGCCGAGTCTCAGAGAATTAGGTGAGTGAGTCTTTGAGTTATTTCTGTGGACTTTGTCAGATGGTCTCTGTCTGCCCTCTTACTCACTGTGAAACCCTTCAGCTTAGTTGACTCAGCTTTTAGGGTTATTGCCTTGGCACATCATTTTGCCTAAAATTGACCTTGCATTCTTTCTGCTTAGTTTTTATGCGAGGATGCTGGACCAGGTGGCGCATTGATCCCTGCCAGTCCAGGCGACAGTGACACTGGAGTGCGGGCACTGGCTCGCGTTTCGTTTTTGTGCTGGCCGTTCCCGTTGGGTGAGTAGGCTGCCGACTGCAATGTGGGCGCATCCCGCCGCCTCTTACCTCTGTCCTCCATCA